GACCGTGAGACTCCTATCTCCAATAAACCACCAGAAAACCAGAAGTGGCGCTGTGGCTCAAGCGGTAGAGCGCTCGCCTTGAGCTGAAGAGCGCAGGGACAGCACCCAAGCCCAGAGTTCAAGCCCCACGACCCACCAAAAAAAAAAAAAAAAAAATGATTGAGGACATCAATACCCTCTCTTTCAGGTAAGGACAGGTCATCTAGACCAAAAAACAGAAACAATTTAAAACAAAAAAAGAAGAAGAAGAAACACTGGAATTGAACTTTATTCAAATGGACCTAAAACAATTCACAGAATATGTCTTCCCCCAAGTAGAAAGGTATCCCATGTGTTTACTGGTGTTAAAAAAAGTCCATCCAAAGTGAACTACAGATTCCATGTCATTTCCATCAAAATACTGATGGAACTAAAATTTATATGAAACCAAAATAAAAACATCTCCAAAATGCCAAAGAAAACCTGAGCAAAAAGAACAAAGTAGAAGGTATTACAACATCTGACATCAAAATACATTTCTACATTATAGTAACTAAAACATGGGCTGGGCAGGTAGTTAACACCTATAATCCTAGTTACTGGGGAGGCTGAGATCTGAGAATCATGGTTCAAAGCCAGTCCAGGTTGGAAAGTCCATGACACTCTTATCTCCAATAAACTATTCAGAAAAAAACTGCAAGTGGTGATATGGCTCAAGTGGTGGAGCTCTGGCCTTGAGCAAAAGAAAAGAAGCTCAGGGATAGTGCCCAGGCCCTGAGTTCAAGCCCTAGGACTAGCATGCACATCCATGTGCACACACACACAAAACACAGTTACAGGCATAAAAATAGAAGAAGGAAACAGAAGAACAAACCCAGAAATCCAGATATACAGCAACAGGAATTTTTATGGTTGTTTAGGATGAGATTCTCACTACAATGCCCAGGCTAGTCTCAAACCAGTAGGCTCAAGAAATCTGTCTGCCTCTGCCTCTCAAGTAGGCATGTGCCACTGCACTGCCAACAGATTGTTACAAGGGTTACAAGAAGATACAATGGAGAAAGGGCCGCAGTCTTAATAAATGACACTGAGAAAACCAGATACCCACATGTAGAACAAAGAAACAAGACTCCTAACTCTCATATTAAAAAAAAAACCTCAAAATGGATCAATGACTTAAAATATAAGACCCCAACCTATAAAACTACTAGAAGAATACAACTTAAATGACTGACATTTATTTAAGAAGAAAAACTGATATGTTTCTAAAAGCACTAAAACTAACAATCACCCAAAGAATATCATGGAACCATTGGGCTGAAGGTATAGTCAGTAGAAGAATGCTTGCCTAACATGCCAAAGATCCTGGGTTCAACTGAGAGAGAGAGACAAAGAGACAGAAACAGAGAGACAGAGAAATATACCACCCTACACAAATGATCTGAATAACATATCTCAAAAAAGGAAATGGCTAACAAATATATGGAAAAATGCTCAATATTACAAATAATCAGAAAAATCCTTATCAAAACCACATTAAGTTATCATTTCACCACAGTCAGAATAGCTATTATCAAAAAGACAAAAAATAACAAAAGCTGTCAAGGGGCAAAGATGACAAGCTCTCATGTGCCGTTGGTAGAAATATTAAGATACTCATGGAAAACAGGGTGGTATGTTCCTCAAAAAACTAGAAATAGAATTGACATAAATCTGACAATCACACTTTAGGCTAGATTTGCAAAGAAACTAAAATCAGTATGTCAGTCAGATATGGTATGCATGCCTATAATCCCAGCATTCAGAAGGCAGAGGCAGGAGGATACCAAGTTCAAGGCCAATCTGGGCTATATAGTGGATCCAAGAGAGTCCAGGCTATGACTTAAGACCTTGTCCCTTCCCAGCTCTTCTAAAAACAAAAAAAAAGGAGGGAGGAAAATATGTAAAAAAAAAAAAAAATGATTAGGCCAGACAATCCTCACCGAGAGTCACCACGGTTTCCTGCTTCAACAGTGCTTGAATGGAACTCAGTGCTCGACTCCATCCCTGCCACCCGCTCGAGCCACCAACCTCCAGCCACCTCTTCACCCTGTCCTTGGACTGCCCCTCTGGGCCTCCTCTGACACTCCAGCGCCGACCCACTACTCTGTCTCTCCTAGCCGCCACTATGATGACCGCATCCCTTTCGCAGGTGCACCAGAACTACCACCAGGACTCAGAGACCGCCATCAACCGCCAGATCAACCTGGAGCTCTATGCCTTCTATGTCTACCTGTCCATGTCTTACTACTTTGACCGAGATGATGTGGCTTTGAAGAACTTTGACAAATATTTCCTTCACCAATCTATGAGGAGAAAGAACATGCAGAGAAACTGATGAAGCTGCAGAACCAGAGAGGTGGCCGCATCTTCCTGCAGGATATCAAGAAACCAGACCGTGATGACGGGGAAAGCAGGCTGAATGCGATGGAGTGTTCACTGCACTTGGAAAAAAGTGTGAATCAGTTACTACTGGAACTGTGCAAACTGGCCACTGACAAAAATGACCCCCACTTGTGTGACTTCATTGAGACTCATTACTTGAGTGAGCAGGTGAAATCCATCAAAGAACTGGGTGACCATGTCACCAACTTATGCAGGTTGGGAGCCCCTGAATCTGGCATGGCAGAATGTCTCTTTGACAAGCACACTCTGGGAGAAAGTGATGAAAGCTAAGCCTTGGGTTGATTCCCCAAAGCCCCACGTGACTTCTGGTCACCGAGGCAGTGCATGCATGTTTGGGCTTATCATTACCTTTTCTATAAGTTGTACCAGAACATCCTAAGTTCTTTTAATTTGTACTATTCCTTCAAATAAAGAAATTTGGTACCTAAAATAAATGACTATACTCATGCTTATTGAAGCACTACAGTAGCTAAGATATGGTATCCATCAATGGATATATGGATAAAGAAAGTATGATATACTGGGTATGGTTTTATATGCCTGTAATCCCAATTGCTTAAAAAGTATAGACAGAAGGCTTACAGTCTGAGGCAAGTCCTGGGAAAAACTCAAGACACTATCTGAGAAATAAACTAAAGCAAAAAGGGCTATGGGTGTTGCTCATAATAGCAAAGCATTTACCAAGCAAGCTCACGGCCCTGAGTTCAAACCCCAAAAAAGAAAGAAGGGAAAGAAACTGAAGAAGAAGAAAGGAGGGAGACAGAGAAGGAAGGAAGAAGGGAAAGAAATATGGTGTGTATATATGTGTATGTGTGTGTGCATGTGTATATACGTATATGTGTGTATGTATATATACTTGTACATGTGTACGTATATACATGTATACACGTACATATACACACACATAAATATGTGTATATATATACAATGAAATATTATTCAGCCATAAAATAGGATGGAATATTGCCATTTGCAGCAACATGGATAGAACTGACTGGGGGACATTTATGTTAAGTGAAGTAAGTCAGGTACAGAAAGACAAATACCATAGAGGTTACTAATGCCTAAGAAGAAGAAAGAATGGAGAAACAATGTTTAATGAGAACAGAAGTACAGTTGCAAAATAGGAATAACCATAGTACAACAGGATAACCATGCCTGACAATTCAGTATTTCAAAATAGCTTTGAGAAAAGATTTTTCAGTGTCCCTTATTATCCTTATGATTACACACTGTATTCAAGTATTGAACTTACAAATATGTAGTTACTATGATTCCATTAAAAATTTAAAAATCAAATTTTAAAAATTAAAAGAAACATACTAACCAAATGAACTGTTGAGTCACATGCTTTAAACCCTAGGGAAGCCAAACACTGGCAACAAAGTGGTTTTTGTACTTTCTCTGGGTATCATCTTTGAACTAGATATTAAGACACAAACCCAAATTCTGCCACTATTTTATTTTACAGAACTCCTTAGTTTTTAGTAATAATACAAAATTTGAGGTGCTCCCCTGTTTAATCAGCTTACTACTCACCAGATATGGGCTGTGAGTTTAGACATTTTGCCCAAGTCATGTGGTTATGCTTAGAGATCAAGGACTTAGAAATATTGAGAAAGATTCTATGATAAGAACATCCACGGCTCGTCAGTCAGTTCCAAAGGAGAGTTCCAGAGGAGACTCTGGGAAGCAGCATCACAAGGACTGGGTTATAATGATCACAGTAGCAACCACTTATTAGGCTCTGCTCATAGGCCAGACCCAGAGTTAAAGTGTTCCTCATAAGATTCATCTGAGTCTCACTTGTTTCCTTTTTATAAGGATGAATATGGGGCCTATTTGAAATCATATGAATCAGAAAAGCAGAGCAGAGATTTAAGGTCGAGACTGTGGGTTCCAAAGCCCATCTATGAATTTAGACTCATGCTTGTATTTCTTGGTCAAAGTGTTCTAAAGGTTGCACACTGGATATTGAGGGAATGAAGCTGGGACACTAAGATGACACTGATGCATCTATTAACACATCAAAGATCTCCATAGGCCAGATAAGAAACCACAGAGGGCTGGGAAGGTGGCTCAGTGGTAGAGCGCTTGCCTTGCATGCCTGAGGCCCTGGGTTCGATTCCTCAGCACCACATAAGCAAAAAGAAAAAA